CCATGGGGCACATTTCTTTATTTTATGGCACTGACAGGATAACAGCCTTCTGTATATTTTGTGTCTCTTGGCATTGTGCGGTGAATAAGAGCAGCATACTGATAACAAATCACTTTCTGACCACATCCATTCCTCAGCGTCATCTCACTGGTCCCTCTTTGTTTTCTCATAGGCCAGGAAACATCACCACCCGAGTGGGACTAGTTAAGCCTGAAGTCAGCCACATGTAAGTCTGTACTTTTTGAATCTTAATATAATTTTAAGCATGCTTCCAGGAGTGCGTTCCTCAGGTGCCCAGGGGTGAGGAAACCTGTCATTAGAGATATATGAAGACTGCCATTAATAGCTTCCTTAGTTGCCTGGCTGTCTGTGGATTAAATCCTTTCTGTGACCCAGTGATGAGCGCAAAGCCAAGTCAGAGAGAAGTCAAAACACCTTATCAGCATACCGTCAGTGCCTCAGAAAGCATTGAATTGGGTTAAAGGGAAATTCTACCTTTTTTTTTTAAATGCAAAGTGCACACTTTTTCATATAAAAAAAAATGTGCATTTATGATTATTATTCCTTATTTTTTAGTCTGCATAGGAGCCAGTTAAGCATTGCAACTGTCATCAGTGGATAGCAGGTAAAGTGCTCCTGGTCCTGCAGACTCTTTCTCCCATCCATGTCTGTACTGAGGTTTGGACATTCAGTAACATGGACAGGAGCAAGTGTGAATGGGCTGCAAGTGAAGAGACGTTACTGCACTTGTATTCCATTCAGAACTATAAGTCTCTCTGCCGCGGTGGCTGATGGGACTTGTCGTTTCTTCTTTCACAGATCCTGTCAAGGATCTGTGGATGGATGATGTGACTGTGTTGGCGAAGCTATGCACAGCCGCACAGAATAAAAAAATGTACACAAGCCTGTGGGGAGAGGAACCCAGGTAAGTGGGGGCACTGGAGGGGGTGGAGGGTTCCAATCTGACCATGTTGCACCCTGAATATGCATGTAGCATGAAACTTGGTCAGAACGGTAAACTTAGCCTTTAACATGGCAGCCAGCATTGAAAAAAGCACAGCTCAGCAATGGCAGCCTATATATCTTCTTCATGATAGGTTTCCTTTAAAAGTAAATAGTTTTAGCAATACATTTGTTGGCTTTGAGTCTGAAGCACCCCAAAAACAACCACACTTATCACCCCTGAATTGTACGTTTATGTACTATATGTAGCTACAGTCACTTAAACCTGGGACTACTAAGAATGTGTTTTCCATTAACAGCTACAATGTAACATATTTATATGGATACCTGCAGGTCCTAGCAGGGGCCTACAAACTTGTAAAGTCGTTTTATGAGGCTCACAATGGAAGGGCAAGGCTGCGCTTTTGTTTCATTAAACAACAGAATAAAAAAAAATCATGAATGTTCAGTTTTTATGCGTTTACTACTTGCCAGTTTTTGTTAACACGTGTGTACAATTCAGGTGAAGAAAAATGATTTCAGCCTAGACATTTTAGCTTTAAAGTTGCCCTGTCACCACATGGCACCTTTACCACCTATATTTGTCCTTGGGTCTATAATCACCAAGAATGAAAGTTAAAAAGAATCCAAAACTTGTTTTGAGTTGTCACCAGAACAGGAATAGATGGTAAATCTTTCAATAGGGTCGCTAGTTCTGGTGACCACGGATTTTCCTCACTTTGGAAGTTCCACGATTAGCTTAAAGGACAACATAACCTTTGTTAAAGCTGTCTTTTAATTGATTCCCTCCACCCCCTGTATGAAGCCCACCCGGGAACACATGCTTACCAGCCCCTATCCAATAGCATTTGCTGTGCGGACCTATCTGGTGCCACACAGCCTTCACATCTAAAACCTCCGGGCCGCTACTCTTCACACTGCGTAGGGGTGTCACCTCCCTGGAAAAAGTTTCCCCTTTGGAAGATTTCCCTTCTATTCCTGTTCTGGTGACGACCCCAAATTTGGGAATTTCTTTCACTTACAGTGATAGCGGTCACCAGGGCAAATAGGAGGCGTGTGCTGGTCATAGACAGCAATAAAAACCTGACAGCTGTTCTAATCCCTCTCCAGTCTATCCAAAACTAACAAAAAAAGGTTTGGCTTTATATCGAATTTAATAGTTCTTTAGTTTTATCACAAAGGTATATCATTTTTTTTTAACTCCCAATGTTATCCCTAAATTAATTTTGCTTATTTTTGTGTTCACATGTAGAATTCCTGCACATAACAACTACACTGCCAGCTTTATCTGCAAAGATGTACAGGATCGCCTTTTGTCGGTGTCTCTGAGGAAGCGGTACGTATGATTTATACTGGCTGCTTACTTTATTGCCGTTAAAGAGCCTCTAAAGATAAATCACATATTGCGTTATGCAAAAGAATTTATCAGGAAATATATATAGCCGTTTCTGTAGCTCGACAGAACTCCATACATTTTAATTGGATACAATAACTCATTTACATAATTTTCTTAAACCAACTTTTTAAGTGAGAGGTATTAGAAGCTTTCATGATTATCGATATATAGGGGGTTATTCACAAAGCTGCTGAAGGCAGCCAAGTATATAACAGTACGCCTGATTTCAGCCATACATCAGCTGAAATCAGCTGTACATCGGCTGCACTTCGGTCAACCGAATATGCCCATCATGTTCGGCTGAGCCTAAGTGCAGAAGGACTTCAACTTAGCCGATCAAACATCTGAATCGGCTGAGCCGACGCTCCGGCAGCTAGCTCGCTGCCGTCCGCCCCTATTCCCATAGGGGTCGAACGGCAGTGAGTGAATAGCCGAATGCCGCCAAGTGGCATTCGGCTCGGCTATTCTGCTCGGTACCTCCGTGGTACCGAGCAGAAAAGAAAATCAATGAAAATAGTTTTTTTTTTAAAAAGGTTACAAAAATATTTAAAAAATGTAAATAAATAGTTTAATTAAAAAATAAATAAAGATTTTTTCAAAAAGAAGATAATTAAGTAAAAAAACAGTTTCTTATTGGCCGGCACCTGCTAGAGTCTTCTAGCAGGTTCTGGCCACTGAATAACAACTGGGCGAAGTCGGCCGTGCTCCACCCACTTGTTATTGTGTAATGACAGTTCAGCATCCCCGGGTCATTGGGGGACGCTGATTTGTCATTACAATGGGTTGGAGCCAGCCGTGAGATCATGGCTGACTTCGCCCAGCTGTCATTTGCGGGCGTAGGGCCAGCGTACGGCAGCCTGTTTGCCATGCTTCGGCTGTCACTTTGGCTCACTTGAGCCGAAGCATATGCCTTTGGCTTGGCTGAGCCGCTCAGCCGCCTTCAGCTGCTGTATGGCTGACAGCATTTGAAAACACAGATCAGATTAAACACCCCACACTAGAACACACAGGACTGCACACTCGGAATACAGTTAGAAAAATTGACATGGGCTGAGTGTCCACTGGAACGTCATAAAACCCTTCAACCGTCCTCAGCACACCCCTTGACCCCTTTGATTGGTTATGCAATTTCTGTAAACGCCTCCCTCAGGGTCTAGAAAATATGGCTGCATTTACTGTTTGTTAGCTCTCATTTTACCTCTGAAATTATGGAGGGTCATAATGAGCCAGTGACCCTAATACATCAGATTGGACTTATTCTCCAATGGTTTTGACTCGGTTGAAACAAAAGACCAAGCAAACTTTGCTAAGAATGTTTTCACCTTTAATCTCATTTGCTTTACTTTATGGATGATACCTTTGTGGACGACACTTCGTGTGCAAATTTCTTATGTAGCACAAAGAGCACTAGCTATAGGTTAATTTTGTGATTTACCACAAAGGTAACTGCCCCAGGGACAATCACTCTCAGTTTGCTGGCCCTTAGCTCTCATTCGATCTTTCAAGCCCTCAAACAGCCGGTGTCATAACATGTGTGGCACCATCGCAACTGGAATCCAAAGAGAGGTTAAAATGGCTCCTTCTTTGGCTGCAAAGAATAAGAAGTTGTAGTTCCACTTTAGGAAAGCATGGTCTGCGGTTGTCACTATCAGGAAGCCCCGGCCTGGGAAATGCAATGCACCCATTGCTGGAGTGCGTGTAGACATGAAGTGCTTGTAAAGAGGCTGCGGGAGGTCAGCAGCACTGAGATGCAGCAAAGGATTAAAAAAAATGAAAACAAGTATTTTGTTAAAATAAAAACATTGTGTGTGGTATGATACATTGTGCAATTGTGATTGTTGCGTATGATAAACAGTGATTTAGCAAGCCAAGAGGTCTATTTATCAGTTTTCTCTCCCAAGATCCACACAACTTTCACCCAATAGTTACCCATTTTTCTATTTAAACCTTATGTGAAAATGGGTGAATCTTAAATTAAATCATTGATAAGTAGACCTCATTCAGTTATGGTTTATTTTAATAAATACCTTATGTATGATTTCCTTTACAACTACAACATAAACCAGAGATGCGTAATTTGTGTTCTGTCAATAGCCAAAAGGGATATTTAGCCCTTTCTACGTACTAGTTAGTTAAATGTAATTACTAAGAAAACAGATGTGTAAGCAGGACAGGAAGATTCGGTGTAATCGCTTTATTACATAACCCCTGGCACAATAGCCCTACCTAGCTCCTTCCAGGAACGTTTAACAGGCCTCGTTTCCTCTATAAAAGCCATAATTGGGGTCTAGCTTTTTTTTTTTAAAGCATCCCAGAAGACCCCCAGAGCCTTTTCCGATGCTGGAGACTATTTTTTTTCCCTGCCATCTTTAAACACTTCATATTAGCGCCAGCCTGTCTTAGGGCGGATCCATAAGCAATTGTGATTATGTTATGATTAATACAAAAGCCGTTACTAAAAATATGGGCCACTTGTAGCACACTAGGGATCCATATTGCCTAGAAACCACCTTACGCAGTGAATGATGCAGACGGGTTCTAATCCACTTAAGCGATATCTGTAACACATGAAATGTCATCCGCTCAGCGCAGATTAATACTGGGGATGTATTGACTCTAAAAGGAAATAGAATTATAGGGATATATCAGCCAGAATAGAAAATGAAGTCCTGAAAGGGCTACAGGAGACAGGTTTCTGTTTCTCATGCTAGCATGGCTGCGGAGCACCAGTCCATGACACTAGTCCATTAGGAAGACACTATCCTTTTATCATTAACTGGTATAGCCATTAACCCTATTATGTCAGCGGTACTACCAGAATGTAAATAAACTCATGCCGTAGCAGCAGACACTTTTAACATGGCTTCCTGTGCCACCGGCTAATCTCCCCTGGGTAGTATGAACCTGGAAGGGCTCAGAGCTGAGCGCTTGCAGGTTCATACTACCCAGGGGAGATCAACAACTTGAGATGGTTGGGAGCTGTCAAACCTTGGCGTCTCTGGTTATGGAAGCAGATGATTGAGCAGAATTAGTGTTCATTCAGCTTCAGCAGATCGCAGGATAGAGGTTTTATAGACTACTGATGTCTCCTTAAAGAGGAGTGAAGGGTGAAAGTGTTATCTGCACTATGCTATCACATAAGGGGCTTGTTAGTCCCCTAGTGATAGCAATAAAGTTAACCACCTTAGTACCAGACCAATTTTTTTATTTTTGCACACGCATGCTAAAATCTGAATTTTCGTATAGAAAATTACTTTAACCACTTAAAGACCAGGTTTTTACACCCCCTTCCTGGCCAGGCCATTTTTCAGTATTCAGCGCTGCAGTACTTTGTCTGACGTTTATTCTGTCATGCAACGCTGTACTGAAACAGTAGGGGAGTTAGTTTGTAATTGATTTTTTTACATTTATTTTATAATTGTACTTTAACACTTTTTTTTCTACATTTTCACTTTCACTCAACTTTATTGCTATCGCAAAGGGGTCAACAAATAAAATTATTAAGTGGATGCTGTTAGGTGTGTATAGGTGGGATGGATGAGATTGGGAGTGGGGGGGTGTTGTTTGCCCAGAGATGGGCTTTAATTCCACACATGCATTTATCCATGACTAAAGTAGTTGTTAATTAAAGCTACAGAAAAAAAGACACTGGGTCTCTGATCTCATTGTGACACACACAGGAATAGCCGTCAGGCATTAGATTACTTTTAATCTTGCATTAAACCTTTTCCTTGTCTGCTGATATTTATTATTGATTAACCGAGCTCCATGCCACATTGATTAACTGGGTTCATTAGTGACATTCATAATGTAATGTGTAATCCATCATCCTATATGATTCCCTTATTCCCTTCTGGACTGTGGAATGGAAAAGGCTTCATAGAAAAGTTATTTTTTATTTTTTTTTACATAATTACATGTCTTACATATTGATGCAAACGGCAATTTCCTGCTGGTGGTTGATGATGTTGAGTAATTGCTGAAATAAACCAAATAAAACTTAAAGAGACAGTGTCACCTTGCACGTGTGGGGTAATGTGTCAAGGTCTCTGCATAGGGCATCTTCCGAGTTCCGACTTACCAACCCATCTTACCAACAATCCTTTGCAGCTCCTTCCATCTGAAAACCAACCACAATACCCCGCATGGAGGAGTATGTGACCTCCTCCCTTGTGACAGTGCTCAGGCAAACACTATCACATGACCGGGGAAGTGATGTCACCTCTAAACTATGACGCCAACACCAGTCATTTTAATGCTGTGGAGGAGAAAGTAGTGTCGAGGCATCGCTGGTAAGGTCAGTATAAGGGCAGAGTGCCTCAGGTGGCATCTCTTCGGGGGGACAGCCAGGTGATGGAGGGGGGGCGGCCACAGCTCTTAGCAACCTGTGACGCCCTGTGCAGTTTCCTGCCTAGCTCACTCCAACCACTGGTTGCCAGGAGCTGAGTGGGACACTCTGGCTTGCATCCCACCAAGCCCTCAGCAACCAGTGATGTCAGTGAGCTGGGTGGGCTGCCGGACAGATCCAATGACAGCGTATCCACGTACAATAATCCAGCGTGAAACAACTCTTGTACTTTGTCTGTGTGCAGGCATTTCCTGCAAATAAAGACCGGTCACTGCTGCTCTTTCTCCTTGCGCAGGGTGACCGGTCTCTTATCTGCCCCCTCCTGTAGTTTTCTGTAGGCAGCCGGTGGGTGGGACAGTGTATAGGGACCAATGTGGAGTATATAATGTACAATACTGTATACTGTACTGTATACTGCAGCGTCTCAGTATACCGCAAGCTGTAGCTCGCGGTATACTGAGCTTAGGGTGACGGGAGGACGCTAGTTTGTGTCCTCCCGTTACCGTAACGCGAACTATGGAGAAAAGCCCTAACCCCATAGTTCTCCTTTAAGTCAGTATATAACATAGACTTTTTGCTGCAATATCTTCCTGCACACTTGTATATTGTTGACAATGCCATTTTGGTCTTCATGCTTTGCAGGTATTCAGAAGATTATTACATCCAGGCTGTTAATGAGGTACAGAACTGCACTTGGAAAAAAAGACCCCAAGAATGTAGCCGATTCAGGTAATATGGAGGATTGAGATTGTCCTTAGATATCAGTAGGGCAGATATTTTTTCTCTCATTAACTTCATTAAAATACGATGGAGAAGCCAGGGTTGTAATCCTTTAACCCTTTGTTAGGTCAGTCAGTGCTCAAATCTACTTTCAAATTATATTGAAATGAGCCAGACAGTACATATAGGGCTAACACAATCAACCTCACAGCCCCTCCTAACATTACAAAAAAGAAAGGAGAAGCAAGTAGAAAATGTAACCCTTAAGGAGCCAAGTAGAAATCTTTAACCAAGTAAAAGCAATTTAAAGTGCAAGAAGCATTTTTTAATATTTTTTTTTTTAGCTTATTCAATGTGAATGGGAACATGTAACACAGCGGGCTGGCTATCAGTCAGTAGAGGAGGAACCTGAAGGAGAAAGTTCTCGTCCTCTGCTGATTGACAGCAGGCAGTGGAAAGTGGTCTGTGTCCCCGCTGCCTCTGCCGATACAGGCAGGGAGAGCAGCAGGGATTAAAAGGGACACAGAACGCTGCAGCCAGCAGCAGTGGGGAGGAGAAAGAAGGCGCAGAGCGGCGGCAACTAATCGTAAAGCCACTAATCAATTCTGAGAATCAATTTAATAGATTAGTTGTTGCAGCCCTAAAACACTTTACAGGAAACTCCTGCACAGAGGTAAAGTTGCACACTGAATTACTGTACAGATCTGAAAGAAATACACAAAGCACCACAAGATTCCAGTAAGAATACCGTACATATGACTCTTGTATTTAAAAAATATTTGCTGATCCCGCAGTTCAGCGTTAACTTCTAATTGTTATGGCGGCTTTGAGTAGCAGCGGGAAAGCAGGAGCATAAAACAGTTACGCTATATCTCTATCGTAGTGCTACCCTTGTATCTTAATACTTCCCATTCTGCAGCACACACAAGAAGAAGGATTGTTTTCGTGTCGGACATTTTTCTGCACTTCCATAAACAATCGGCACATCCCTGCGTGAATTCCAACAAAAGCTTCCCACCGACTCCGAGCTTTATAAATAAACCCCCAAATGTACTTCCATAGATAAGCGTCGCCTCCCGCTGTACACCAATGACAAATCAATCTCTCCTTCCATTCTTCTAGAAGCCTGCTCCCTGCCCAGACCCTCATTTGTGAATGTACTAGCTTTATTATTACAGAGCGCACTCACTGGAGTGATGGGGATTTATGCTGCTTTATTTTTTGTTTGCAGACTCTTCCTGTCTTCGTGCTGCAATGCCGCTAATAACTTCATCGTCTCTCAGAACAATACCTCGCTGGGAAGTAACATCACGTATGAGGTGGAAACCAAAAAGAACATTTTAATCGCCGAGGACATTTACAGAATGCTGCCTAAGGTAAGGCTTCTAGAATGCGATTAGCACTTTCGTGTCGGGAAATTAATTAGTGCCTTATCGTCCGTACTGTAAATTAAGTGTTGGCGGCTGAGGCGCTGTCCTGGGGTTTAAGTGAAGACGTCACATAGATAACACCTACTTTGGATTCGGGCCATTTATTAAAAGCTAATAGCTGCCTGCATAATCCATAGCAGGAAGAACAATCAACTATCGGAAGTGGAGCAAGAGGAACCAAAAAATTCCCTCCACAAAGATCATCACCTAAGAGCCACTTATAATGTTCATTGTATGCAATGCTACAGAAAATGTTCAAAGACTGGATATACTACATTAAATGGTCAGAGACTGGACATATAACAGTAGATGGTCAGAGACTGTATAGTGCAGGGCTCAAAATTTCAAGTCCTGAGCTACTAGCCAGGCCTTAAGAGTTACTCGCCACCAGTCGCCCCACCTGACCCCTACCGTGCCCCGCCCTTAACTCCGCCAGGTCAGTGGTGTGACACAGAACCCCCCCCTGGATTTCCACTCGCCCCCACGCAATTTTCACTCGCCAATTGCGAGGGGGCGAGTGGAAATTTTGAGCCCTGGTATAGTGCATACAGTCTCTGACCATCTACTGTTATATGTCCATTCTCTCACTCTCACCAGTACTACATACGACTAAACCATACATCAGGAGATAGTCAGAGACTGGACAAGCCACAGTAGATGGCTAAAGATTGGATGTACTAAGAAGATGGTTAGAGGCTGAACATACTACAGGAGATGGTGAGAGACTGGACATACTACAGGAGATGGTGAGAGACTGGACATACTACAGGAGATGGTGAGAGACTGGGCATACTACAGGAGATGGTCTCACACTGGACATACTACAGGAGATGGTCAGAGATTGGACAAGCTTCAGTAGATGGCTAAAGACTCGACATACTACAGGAGATAGTCAGAGGCTGGACATACTACAGGAGATGGTCTGGGACATGCACCTGGAGATGGCAAGATACTGGAGATGCTACTGGAGATGGTCAGAGACTGGACATACTACAGGAGATGGTCAGAGACTGGAAATGCTACAGGAGATGGTCAGAGACTGGACATCATACAGTAGATGGTCAGAAACTAGACATACTACAGGAGATAGAGATTGGATACACTACAGTAGATGGTTAGAGACTGGACGTATTATGGTAGATCGTGAGAAACTGGACATACTACAGTGGATGATCAGGGCCTGGCGTACTACAGGGAATTGTAGAAGTTAACATACCTGCAGCATTGTCCCCACTCTACCCAAATGTTAAGCCGTTCTGATTGAGCAAAGCTCTGGCACCTTCAGGTAGCATTGGAGCTTTCCCGCTCCCTCTCACCCCCAGACATTCTTATTGGCCCACCATTGTGATGAGTTGCCACAATGCCCAATATGTGCGGGAAGTGATAGTGGGTGGGCCAGCTTTGTCACTACCAGAAAGTGCCAAAGCCTGCTCAGTCATAATGGCCCAAGATTCAGGCACTTTACATCTACTAGCATTGACGAGTCACTTTAATTTCCTCGCTACTCTAATTAGGGGAGGCAGTTTACTGTCTGTTTTAATTGATCATCTGATGTACTGATTTCTCCATTACATTGGACCAATAGAGTTAAAAAAAAAAGTTGACGTCTTTAAATCTCTAAATACACAAATTGCATTATCTTTAAATCTTATTATCCTCAGGTGTGAAATTACATCTTATTTCATTATAGCTCCACTTAGCCAAGTTTTACTGATTTAAAGAACTGCTTGAGATAAGAGGATGAAGAAGAATCTGGCAGTACCAGTTCAATTTCTGGGTTGAAAAATGGATTAGTGACTAGCCATGTGACCTTACAATGTTAGGATCCAGGGTTCAGTTCTTGGCACAGCTTTTATGTACCTGGAGATTATATATCCATTATGTAAGCTTACTACAGGGACTCTGATTTCCTCAAATTTCTAAAATCCTTAAACCATATGAGGGCAAAGTGACAGGTTTTCTTAATAATTAACCTTTTAAGTGCACTTCTCTGTTTGTCTATCTGTTCGTCTATCGGAGCCCCTGGCGATACCCAATATTTTTGGGTATGTGGTAAAAAAAAACTAAAAAAAACTGAATGGCAGCTGAAGACCCCCAGTGTGTGTCTGCCCCAACCCAACCAACAAATATGGCAAACTACAAATCAACTTAAAGCTAAAGTGTACTTGGGAATGTTTTGTGTTGTTCTGTGGTGTACGTTGCCCATGCCCACCTGTGCAACTTTCCTTTGCTAGTTATATAGAATATTAATCTCAGCAGCTGCCATATTCGCTAAGGAGGAACATTGGCCATCTACCCCTAGGTTGGAATGTTCAGGCCTTATCAGCCAATTGCCGGGCCCAGACATTGTTAAGTAAGGGAAGGGAGAAGGTTAGTAACCCTGTGTAAGCAATGCCTCAGAGCTTACAAAGAGATTACATTCAGAGCTATAGTAGGTGAACAGGACGGTGGGGGAATGTAGACAAAATAAGTATAATTTGGTGGCAGGGAGGCCTACTAAGAGAGCCAGTCACTGCTCCGAATGGGTCAAATGACAAGTTCCCTTAAAGGTACCCATAAACAAGAGATGACAAATGCACTGATATGGCTGATGATCCTATGCCTGTGGGTACATGAAAATTAGGGCTGACTAGCTGCCGTTGTCAGGGCTGTCGACCGGACAGATTAGAAAACCTGTTCCCATTACCATAACCCCCAAACACCACCGCCTTCCCGATTAGCCTATTTCTTCATTCACATAGCAGATCTTACAAGTTTATAAAGAATTGCGCAGACAGACCCTAAGGACAGTCGTTCATATAAGTCTAAAGCTGGCCATACACTGTGTGAATTTTGGCCAGTTCTTGATAATCAGTCCGAAATTTGCTTAGTGGTTGGCACCCTTCTGTCCGGCATCCTTCAATCAGTAAATCAAACTAGCCAGTTGGAAATTTTTCAGGCAAATAATGATGGCAGCCATCACTGTTCAGGTATTCAGACAGAGGCAACCTCCACCACTGTCAGAATACATTGGCCCAGCAGGATATTTGTCCCTCCACACTGTTTAGCTGGATGGAGGAATCTGTTATATATTGTTCGTTCAGCCCACAGTTTGAAAAAATGATGACAGTGTATGGCCAGCTTTAGGCTACCCATGGAGCCAAACCTTCACTTTGTTGAAAGATCTTCCTTAAATGTAGGTTGCCAGAAAAAAATAATCTCTAGGAATAGAATTTTACCTTCTGTCTTTCTTCAAGAGATTTATCTTTTTTTGTCCATACCATACACAAACTATTATCACATGTGATCTACGATGTCAACAAACTCCATTCTTCTTCTAAATCCTACCTGTACTGATCTGTGTGTACCTGAAGTCGCCCTAGATTTCAAGATTTGTAGGGGAAACAGGAACCAGGAATTCATTTTTGTCTCTTATGCCTATTTTTCTTTCTTAATCAAATTATTTATTTATTATTATTATTATTATACAGGACTTACAGTATATAACGCCAACAGTTTGCGCAGCGCTTTACAAAACTGAGGGAGACAATACAGTTAACAAAACAATTTCAGTACAAGAGGTAGGAGGGCCCTGCTCGTGAGAGCTTACAATCTATGGGCATTCCCTGTACCTGAAGCTTTGCCTCCTCTAACATCTGGCACCACTGCAATGGTGTGTTGTGAATGAACAATTGTTTTTGGCAGGAAACATTGTACTTATTAATAAAATATTTTTTGTACCATTGATCTATACTTAATCTGGCAATCTGTCTGATGTCTACAGCAAGCCCAAGGCTATAAACACATGATAAAAGCAAAATATACTTCTGAATTCCAGCATTGCCTTTGATTAATGGTTTATTTCCCATGCAGTTGGAAGTACTCTTCAACCTGATGGAAAATTGACTCTTCTATGTGAGAGGTTCTATGTGTTACATTGTAACATTCTGTGACCTATAGTATTCTCCTACTGTGCAAAGCAAGTAAAATTTGTAGAAATGTTACTTATGTTATGCTAAGAGTAAGGAGCCTTCTCCCTCCACCCCGAGGCATATCTACAGCAAGACAAACAAGGCGTTTGCCTTTAGTGGCACTTTGTCGCCCCCAAACCAGTGGGGCAGTCAGCGGCAACAGCCGAAGGAGCGCCAGACCGTAGCACTAGTTTCTCAAGGCTGCGTACCAGCTAAGGAGAAGAAGGAAGTGGCTGGGGGGCGGGGCTAGCTTCCTGCTGTCAGTCAGCCTTGACCGGGCGGCGGTGAGTGGCGGTATCAGGATGGCTCCGGCGGTGGACAGGCCCGGGTACTGGGGAGCTCCAAGCTCCACGCTGAAGTGGTGGGAGGAGAACTATGCTGTGTCCTTCTACATCGCTGAGTTCTGTGATTACTGGAACACACAGCTACAGAGATCCCTGCTGTCTATTGCATATACATATGTGTGGGGATCTATTGTATGTACATGTGTGCTGGGATCTATTGTCTATACATGTATAGACAAAAGATCCCAGCACACATGTGTGCCCAATAGATCCCAGCACACATGTAAGTACAATAGATCCCAGCACACATGTATGCACAATAGATCCCAGCACACACGTATATACAATAGATCCCAGCACAGGTGTATCTATCTAGATAGATAGATAGATAGATAGATAGATAGATAGATAGATAGAAACAGTATATATAGATGTACACAATATTGCCAAAAGTATTGGGACACCTGCCTTTACACACACATGAACTTTAATGGCATCCCAGTCTTAGTCCGTAGGGTTCAAAATTGAGTTGGCTCCGCCCTTTGCAGCTATAACAGCTTCAATTCTTCTGGGAAGGTGTCCACAAGGTTTAGGAGTGTGTCTATGGGAATGTTTGATCATTCTTCCAGAAGAGCATTTGTGAGGTCAGGTACTGATGTTGGACGAGAAGCCCGAGCTCGCAGTCTCCGCTCTAATTCATGCAGGGGAAGCC